TAGGATTGAGTTCTACAAAAGCACCATTACTCGAGTGAAAAAGGATGGTCATCTCCGGAGGCTGAGACTAACTACGTAAGTAATACTTTAGTAACATGTCACATGTATTCATTCTATCTTATAATTATTTTAACTGATGTAATATTTTTATGTAGAACAAAATGAGAGATTTGAGAGCTTGGTCTATTTCTGAAGAGAATCCAATGACTATTGATGAAATTGTTGATAATGTACTTGGTACAAGGTCGGGATATATTAAAGGCCTTGGCTATGGTCCAAAGCCTAGTACAACTACAGCAACAAAAAGAAGGACAGCAGAATTAGAGGATGCTCTTAGAAGGGCAAAATAGGATGCTGCTACTGCCCAACATGGTTTACAAGAACGTTTGAATGTAGCTGAAACTGAGGTAGCAAATCAGCGAATACAGATACAAACATTAACTTCTGAGTTGGGTACTTTAAGGGCATGCCAAGAGGAAATATTAAACCAAATGAAGTGTCATTTTATTGGCTCATCACCATCAAGGTTAGAAGTACTACATCTTTAAATGATAAATTCAATTATAATTCTTTTAGTATCTAAGTTTGAATTTTTTTTTTAATGATACAGCGAAGATTGAGCCCCACCAGATTATCACCTTTGGGTACACTATACTTCACACTATTAAATTTTTTTCTCATTTTTATTTATTTGTAGCACAATTCAATTATTTGTTTTACCAATTAAACTCTACGTCTAACAAGAAGTTGTAGTTTATACCAATTATATTTTATTTATACCTTGATACCATAAAGTGTTAACTTAAAGTAATTTTTTCTCTATCTTTTATACAGGTATATGAAGGTAACTATTGGATCAAGACTAATTGCAAGTGAAGTGTCACTGCATTCCTCCACTTCTTAGTCCTAGTTTAGGAGTAATATTTCTTAGTTAGGCTTTTATGTTGGACATATTTACTTTAACTATGTTTCTTTTAATTTAAGGAGCTTTTATTTCAATATAGTTTTAATATTAGTTTTATGATCAATGGTGAATATTTTTGTTATTACCTTTGATTGTTTTTATTTTTATGTTATTACCTTGATTGTTTTATTATGTTATTTCAAATTCGTATAACGTCAATTTAAAACAAATATGAATATAAACGTCATCAAACATTTGTTATTAGTGACAAAAAAGTTCACTTTTGTATAGTTTTTAGGAATATCACATTTTCGTCACCAAACAAATTAAGTTCGTCATAAATTCGCTATATTTAGTGACAAAATAATTTATGTCCCAAAAACATCTTTTTATTGACTACGAATCAATTTTGTATTTTTTGACAATTGTAATTGTCACTAATTATGATAACTTATAGTGACAACTTTGTTTTGTCGATAAAAATATTCTTTTTCAAGAGGGTAGTTTTAACTACAAAATTATAATTGTCACTAATTATATATTTAGGGACGAAATACTTTTTTGTAGATAAAAGGTAGTCTTTAGTGACAAAATTACGGTTTTTCAACTACGAAACATACGTAGCTTTAGAGACATTTGACGTCGTCACTAATTAAACTAAATTTTTAGAGACGAGGCAGTTTTGTCGACATTAATGCACTTTTTAGTGACGAAATCATACTATCAAGTACGATTTTTTTGTACTTTTTATGACAAATAAATCCGTCATAAATATTACGTGTTTGGGGACGAAAAAGAATTTCGTATTTAATACTTCATTATTTGGCGACGAAACACAAAGTTGCCTTTATATGTTATTAGTGACGGTGTTTAGAGACGAAAGATTGACAAAAAGGATTTCGTCACAAAAAATCTTTGTTGACGAAAAGTGAATCATAGGTGACAAAATAATTCATCATTGATAATCAAATTTGTTGTAGTGAAATTTCGAATATCCGTAGTTTGACAATATTGTTAAAAACTTATTTAGTAAAAGTAGAGTAGAGCAATCGTTGAGATGAAAATAGGGTTATATTTTGGCGACAATTGCGTTCAAAGCGCGCTGTTATCATATTGTAGCGTATCCTTTTCCTTTTTTTTTTTTGTAACTAAAATTCCGTTTGTTATAGCTTAACATAGGTAATACACAACTCGAAGGAGTCTTATTAAAGGAGGAATGTAGAGAAAATAGGAAAAAGATGTAACTAAATCTCCTGATTTAAGGTACTAATAATGGATTATATATAATATCTAAATAATCCTTGTTTAGAGCAGGTAATATATAAAATTAGAATAATTTTGGTAAATAAGTTTTAAATATTGAATAAGAACAAAAAAAAAAAAAGTCCTTTTGCAATACGTTATGGAATAAAAGGAGATATTTATTTCCTCCACTCGAAAATGTTCTTTATCGGGGCCCCACATATTCGGATCCACCCGACCCGATACCTTCTCTCACGCACGCTTTCCAAACAGTTGAACACACCCCTCTAACTTTTTGCATCAATGACTCCTCGATTCAATCTACGGCTTAGATTCGCCGACGCCATTCTCCGGTCGCCGGCTTTCATTTTCCGGTCAAACTAACCTACATACACCGGTGAGGGTATCTCGGTCCTTTAAGTTTAATATCATGGCAACCTCCGAAGATGAGGATGAATCACTCGCTCAATTCCTTGAATCTGAAGTCCTCGCTTTCTCCGATCAGGTAAATTTATAATTTTTACATTTTCACGTTTCAATTTATTCCACTGATTTATGAATAGAAGGATTCGTTTTTACTCTCTCTATCCTAATTTTTGTGATATTCTTTCGTTTTTAGAAATAATTTAACTTTAATTTTCCCATGTTATCCTTGATTTTCACAAGTTCCAAAAATATTTTTTTCTAAAACTCGTGCCTACTCACGGGAGTATTAATCTTCCTCCTCCATCTGGATTTTGGATTGGCTATGCTCTGGTAATACTGGTGTTAATTTTTTTTTTTTAAAAATCAGATAAAAGCTTCTACAGTACGTTGTGTTGATATCTGAAATGAATAAAATATAATCAAAGACGAGAACTTTACGAGTCTAGATAAATTTCTTATTAATCATTTTCTTAATTTTTGCTGCTAGTACTTTAAGGTGGCGTTCTTCATGAAAAAAATTATTGAAATGTTGCAAAGTGTTTTCCTTTTGTGCCAGTTTCTAAAGATTTTTTTTGGGCCAAAAAGGATTTTAAAAAACCGTTTTTTTAATTGAAGTGGTTTGAGCGCATTTTTCAGAGGAATTTAATTTTTTTCATACACAAAACCGTCACAAAATCTTCAAAAATAAAAGTAGTTACAACACGTATTTTAAACATTTTTTTTACACATTTTTGTTCCGAAAAGTTGTCCAAACAGCTATATGTCTGATCTTTTGCTTACCTTTTGTTTCTTCTCTTGCCTCAGTTATGGAGTATGGAATAGGGTCATTTTTACTGATAGAAACGGATAAACGCAAAAGGTTTTCATTTGCCCACGATTTTTCTACTCTCAATTCAGAAAAAAGAATGTTCAGGACAGCAGGAGCGTTATTTTGGTGCGGACTCGAAAGTATTTTTTTGAGCTTTTATTGAACTAAAATATACATGTTTATGAACTACATAAAAAATACTACAAGTCACACTCTTCTTATAGTTAATACTCCATCCTTCCTAATTTATATGACAATCTTTTCTTGTTGTGTTCACCCGAAATGTTTGACACCATTTCACTCCTATACAACTTTTATTACTTTCAAGAATTCAATTCATTAGACTATTTAAAGTTTAAACTGTTTTTCCATCGAGCTGACTTTTCAACCACTGCCTTGATATTTCCGTCCTTTATCACTACCACAAATTACAAGTGAAATTAGTATAATAAAATCTGTGCTCAGTCAAATATCAAAAATAGGATGGTGGGAGTAATATTTGAAAAATGTTTGACAAAAAATTGTTAATGTGTTGCTGTAATAGTGCCATACAAAAAGGACAGAAAATTTTATGATGCACATGTGCAGACGTTACACGGAGGAAATGTGTTCGATTTTAAGTGGTGTTCTCCATTTGTTGTTTCTTTTCCTTTGTGATGGAGAGTTTGAGGGTGTCTTCATTTTCATTTCCTATTGTAAGTTCCATTGCAGTCTGTTTCGCTATCATCTTAATATCCACATCTCTATGAGTGTGCAGTGTAGTTATTGATATCTCTGATTTTGTGCTACTGGGCACAGATGTATGGACTCAATTAAAATTTTGTAATTTGATTGATATGGTTCAGGATGAAGGGAAGCAACTGAAAGTTGAGGACAATAATGACAAGTTTGGTGGAGAGGAGGAGCAAGTAACAGAGAAAATGAGAGATGTGGAGGATGGGGGGGAAGAGGAGGAGGAGGAGGAGCAGGAGGAGGAAAATAGAGGAGCAAAACGCATGAAATTTGAGGAGAAAGAGGGGAACAAAAAGGTGAAGACATTGTTATCATCTCAATCTCTTGCATTACCAATCGAAATTAAAGCTGATGGTGAATGCGCATCTTCACCTCCAAACATGTGTGAGACTCATATGGGTACGTGTAACGGTGCTGGTACCAACAGCGTAAGACGCGTTCCAAGGATGATAGAAACTGGTATTCTCAGCAAAATCCCTCCTGAGTTGCTCCATCACATTCTCAAGTTCCTTTCCTCAGAGGTATTCACTTTCTTGGCAGTGTTACTGTTTTGAGTTTGGTTTAAACCTTTCTGCTTGTCATATTATTTACCCATACAAAAAGAGACTGAAAAAGAGAGGATAAACGAGAGCCATTTCTGCTGTTTTATGCCCGTGGTTATTTCCTATTGACAAAAAATGTTCTTTTTATGGTAATGTGGCAGGATCTTGTTGCATGTTCGTTGGTCTGTAAGTTTCTAAATGGTGTTGCTTCTGATGAATCCTTATGGCGTCGGCTGTAAGTACAATGCTTCTTGTGTTTTTCCCCTTTATCTCCATTCATGCTGCATATGCTTATCTATAATCTATCTGTCTGGTGTTATAGGTACATGTACTAGTATTTTTTTTTTTTTTTTTGGATAATGGTGGTGTCCTTCACTGGGTCGTTGTTGTTGTTGTTGTTGTAATGGTGGTGTCCGGGCTAGCTTTTGTGCACCTCGACTACTATATCAGGTACTTAGCTCCTACCAACAAATACCAGGAGCACTGATACCTGGTAACTTTTCCCAATAAGGCTTAGGCGGATGGGAAGGTTTGCACGCACTTCAGTGACTACTGTGCCATACCCTTGGGTGGTTGTGCTAGTATTCATACAGAGTCATTCTTAACTTGATTCCTGATTTCTTGTTTCCCTTTCATCTATTTGGATTGAGACTTATACCTTTCCATATCCTCAAGTACTCATGCATCCAAATTATTTGCATTGAACTTTTGACTACCTTTGTGCTGACACTTCTTATTCTTTTACTTATTTGTACTTTGCTAAAAATTATATCTTCAGAATATGTATTTCATCCATTTGAGATTGGCGTTTCTTGATTGATGAAATGTTGATACAGTTATTGCTTGCGATGGGGTCTGGTGCTCCCAACAAAAAAGCCACGGGAGTGTGCTTGGAAGAAGCTTTACATCAAGGTATCTTTGATTCAAATATTAACTTGTCATCGCCAATTACTTCAGCTAACCTAATTCTTTTTTTACCTCTAGCTCTGCAAATTATACTCTCTCCAATAGTGTTGAATTGAAAGCTCAAAACTTATAGTAACTTTTTAGTATTGTAGATCCAAATGTCAAACTAAAATTGAATGTTTGGGTACTATTAGAGTATGGTTTTGGTTTAGTTTAAAATGATTGGCTTCGGGAACGTATTTGGGAATTTTCTAGGAAAGCAAATAATGTGTCTGAGAAGGCTTTGTGATAGCCTTATTTGGTTTTGAGAACTAATACAGTTTTTGCTAAACCAAATATGTGGTTTCTAGAAACAGAAATCATCTACTCAGTTTTCCCAAACCAAATTATTGCTGTTTCCAAACGCAATCGAAATCCGAATTGAACTGCACAATTCATTTTAGAAAATGTTACCCAAATGTGTAAACCAATTGTAAGAAAAATTAAGTTGGGAACTCTTTTAGGAAAGCAAATAATGGTTCTGAAAAGGCTTTAAAATGTCCAGCCTTATTTGGTTTTGAAAACTAATACAGTTTTTGCCAAACCAAATATGCGGTTTCCAGAAACAGAAATCAACTACTCAGTTTTCCCAAAGACCCAAACCAAATTATTGCTCTTTCCAAACACAATCGAAATCCTAATTGAACTGCACAGTTGATTTTAGAAAATGTTAACCAAATATGTAAACCAATTGTAAGAAAAATTAAGCCGAACCAAATCGAAATGCCAAAGTGGGTCAACATTAGGCTGCGTAACATATGCTAGCTCGTTGTAATTTTTTTAAGTTAATATGATATTCCTTGTGGATACAGATTTGGGCACTAAAAACATTTTGTTACGCCAAAAGAAAAACCACACTATTAAATTAGGAAAAGGACAAGATCTGTTTTCTCATTTCTGTCATCAAGAACGGCATGATTTAACAAAAAAATTGAGCACAGAAACATTCATGATTTATCCTATCCAGAAAAAGGGTCAATTAATGGGATATTGAAGGAAATGGGGAGAGCAAACTGCAAAGTGGGGAGATTGGCCTCTTGGGATGCTTCTTTAGTTGTGAATTGATGTATGCATCTTGTAGATTAAATTTACTTTTGGGTAAAATGAAATGCATTCTCTGCAGCGTGATGCAGACGACATGGTGGAGTTCGTCAGTAATTGCCCGACGGAATTCAAGGAGTATTACATCCAAATGCAGACTGCTAAAAGAAGCCAAGCTCCTCTTCTTTCTCAGGTGAGTAGTGTTTTCTGTATTTGAAGCTTCTAGTTACTTCATCGGGATCTGGTATGATCACAAATAAATTTCATCTTGAATTCATTGACCGGATTTGTGGGATAAAGCCGTCCTTTGATTTTACTCCATAAATCACATCGGGTGGATGGATTTTATTCTTTTCTATTTTAACTTCTTTTTGAGGGGTAGGGTGAGTCAGGAGCGTAAGGGAAGGGCATTGTTTGGATGGAGTTTTTTCCTTCATGCATTAACCATTCTCTTACAAATATGTAAAACAGAAAACAGAAATTAAAAAAACAGTAAGAGATTCGCGGGAATAGATGGGAATAGGACCTAAAAAATATCTCAAAGTGAAAAACTTACCGGATTAGATGACAAAATGTAAATACAGAAGGGAAAGAAGGAGTTAAGGTTATTCTGAATGAGTAATTAAAAAACGTTATTCCCTGATGCACCAAGCAAGAACGGTCCATTACGAAATACACCAAACTTCAAAAGCCTAGCACATGAAGACTTTTAAATCAGTCAATTGATTTTATAATATAACATTAATAAATCAGTCAATTGAAACTGATGTTCCTTGAGAATACCTTTTTTTCCCTCCCATGAACTCACACCCTGACCCAACGCCGAATGTTCGGATTTATCCCAATCTGTATTCTTAGTACTCATTCCCCCCACCCACTTTACCTCCTCCACTTTCCCTTTTTGAATGCATATTTTCCACTCAGTTTGTACTTGCCTCCCTTTAATGCACAGATAAATGATGATCGTATAATTCTCGATAAGACCGTTGCTGATCAAGTCTCTATTTGGAAGAAAAGCAAAGGCCTAGGTGATAATGTGGTCAATGATCATGCGTGTTCTGGGAAGACATGCGCTTACCATCAAATTGGGGATGTATTTGTATGTGAGAAAACTGGAAACGTTCATGGTAAGAAAATGTTTGCAACAGTCCAAATCAGTCATTCGATAAGTAGAAAGATGGGATCCCCTTGGGTCATTGGTTTGTGCTTATTGGTTTTCTCTTGTGTACGTGGGCACAGTTTGTGATGACACATGCAGGGAAGTTGTACTGGATCCAATAAATGGTCTGCTTGTGTGCACTATTTCAGGCCACTGTTTGGACACGATGTTGTTGTTACCAGATGAAACGGAACCAGATGTGGTAAGAACCTACTTGTAGCTTATGGCGTTTCTGGAATTCAATATTTCCGGGTAAATGTGCACAGTCAAGTACAGAGGAAAATATTACTATGTGCATCAACTTGTGAAATTCTATTTTCTGAAAATAAGTAGACACTGAGAATAGTGATATGCTAAAGTTCACTTGTTTCTATTGGTTCTTTTTAGATACAAATTATTCCATTCCGACAAAGATGGTTGTTCTAGGTGATAAAGTATGCTATTCTTAAGAAAAAAATGTTACAATTCTAAAATGAAAATCATGTCTATATGTAAATGAATGGTATACTTTTTGCACCTAATATTAGTGGTCTTTTACCCTGTAGATTTAACTCTTGTAGGAGTGATATCTCCACCCGTCCAAGAGTCTCTTATTTATCATTTGTGGCAGCTATATTTCTGTAATGTATTAGTGTACACATTGCTTGTTCTTAGCTGTTTTTAATCTTTGAGGATCTAATACATCCTTTAGTATATTTTAGGTCAAAATGTATGTTTGTGAGGATTGGTTTACACCTGATGCTTGAATAAATGAGCCTAGAAAAATTTGAGAGTAGGAGCAGCATCTCCCTACTTATGCTATATCTTGTTTCCATCTAAGTTGCTCGGATACGGGTGCGGGTGTCCGACACGGGTGCGGATCTAGATGTCGGATACTTGTAGATGTAAATTGTAACATTCTGGGATACGGATCCTAGTACGGATACGGGTGCGGGGATCCGGCTAAAAATAATTCAAAAAAATAAAAATATCTCTAAATTATGAGAAGTGTTGTGGAATACTTAAGTATAACTAGTAAAGTGTGCATTTCTTTTTTACTCTCAAGTTGTAGATAAGTAAAAGATTGATTTCCTAGATAAGGTATGCCATTTTTTTCCAATTTACCCTAGTATTGGTTCTGATTTCGGGAATCAAATTGTATCTTGTGATTCTTGTCTCGAATTTTTCCGTCCATCATGGTCAAAGTACCCAAAATTGTTTGACCAGATCCGGTACGGATCCCATACCCACACCCATACTAGTGTCGTGTCGACACGGGTGCGGCACCTAAACTGCCATGTCGGAGCAACTTAGGTTTCCATGTAACACAACTTTTAAGATATTAAAGTATAATGTTTAAATGCTTGTTGCTATAATATATTAGCTAGTTCTCTCTTTGTTTGTTGAAATACAGGAGCAACAACAAGCTGGTGCGGCAGACGAACTAGAACCATTCATGGGTTCAGGTCGTTTTGGTATGTATAGTTCTGTCTTCCAGTTTATTTATCACTCAACTCCTTTTATTCACCTATTTTTGTTTTCTGCTTATACTGCTTCAGCTCGAGCTTATGAACTGGGGTATAACTGCGATGATGAGAAGGAACTGGAAGCTGCTTTGCGCTTTTGCTGATTCAACTGTTTATCGCCACTGAAGGGTGTGGTGGGTTGGTAAGGATCTCTCCGCCTTTAACTGGAGATCTTAGAGTTCGAGTTCTGGAAATGAGGAAGCTCTTGGTATGGAGCACATTACCCCTCTTAACAGACCTTCCCGGTTCGTCCGGATTAGTCGGTTGGTGGGCTTAGTTACTGGATGTTCAAGAAAAAGAAAAAGCTTATCCATATATAGTTGGATCTTCGGCATGTTCAGAAATGAAATTATTATAGTTTTGTTTAACCTTGTAATTGTAGTATGCATAATTTTAGTGCTATATAATGTAGATTGCTTAATTTAAGTTAAAATTATAAGAGGCCTATATAGTTTTGCACTTAATATTCTCCTACACCGCATGTTTTTTTTTTTCTGTTGACCTATCATTTTGCTATGCGTGATGTTGCCGAGATCTTCTAAAACTGAATCCATAGCATTGTCTGTTGCCAAAGGCGGATAAGAGTAGCTGCTGTGAAATTTCAGGTTATCGTTCTGTCATTCAATTTATGCATTGCAGACTAACAGCTTGTTTGGATGGTTGTCCCCGTTGTGTCGTATTGTATTGTTATCCCAAAACAATGTTTGTTTTGATTGTTTCATTAAAATTGGTTGTATTGTATTGTTAAATCCATTGTTCCGGAACAATGAGAAATCCTCTTTTTTGAAACAAAATCGGTGTGGTGGGATTGTTTCCTATTTTTCTTTCCAATTATGCCATAACTTATTACTCCACAATTCTATTTTCTCCTTTACCTTTTTTTCTATTTTAACTCTAAATCTCCAATCTATAACCTACTTTTTTTTTTCTAGAACTTATGCCGCCAACGTTAAAGGTGTTTTAACGCCTTCTGTTTTATATTTTCTTCTAATTTGCTTTTAACTCGATTCTAATTAGCTATGCTCCTTTGTTTTGCCTTTTTCTGTCTCACTCCTCTGTTCTGCTTTCTTAAGGTGTTTTGCCTTCTTCTGTTTTGTTTTTTAAAATTATTTGTATGCATAATTTTTGATAAATTTAATATTTAAACAATTGAGGGTATTTAGTAAACTTATCCTGTACGATACAGTCAAACCAAATATTAAAATATTACTATTTAACAATAACAAACAATACAATCTATTCAAACATATACAATACATTATAAAACGATGGGGAACAATGATCCAAACATAGCGTAAGGTATTAGACTTTAAGGTGGGGAGGAATATATTGGTGCTAGAGCGAGATAGAAGATAAAGACTTGCGATGCATCATAGTTGCTTCAGTTACCTAGTTACCACCGTGTGACCAAGAGATTAGAGTTCAAATTCCATTAGCATTTTCTGTTGCCAAAGGCGGATAAGAGCGAATTTAGCAGGTTCCTACTTGTGTCTCGAATTACTTATAAACATGGAGTCTAAAACATGTAAATAATATTATATCACACTATTATGAACGCATTAACAATAATTTTGGATTTGCATATTGAAAACATGGTGCTATTGTATATGGATGCAGCAGAGTAAACATCAATTTGTGACAAGAACTAAAGCCCTAAAACTACCATAACACCAAATTCACACTCATTTTTGTGACAATAAATCGGCATTGCTTAGGTAAAATCCTGTGTATGACACCAATGAACTTCTCTTTCTACTCTTCTTTGAACAAAGAAAGGGCATAGGCTTGATTCGTGGAGAGCTTATTAAAACTCAAAGGAAGAAAATAATCGATTTACAAGGAGAACAAGTCAAAAAAGACCAACGAAGAACAATACTTTACGACAATGTTTTCGTAGACGTTTACTTTACGATTCACAAGGAGAAACGTCAAAACGCCTAGGGAATTAGCGAGGAAAAGAAGAAAACAAGGCAAGAAAATAGTACATAGAACAAGACAACAAAAGTCAACTGCTACGAAAATGGTTGACCTCAAATACTATCCAAAAAATATTTGAAATCATGTGAATGTTAAATAAATCAATATTGGCATCGGACAAAAAGAGAAATATGTTGGTGATTTTATCAAATTTTTTAAAGAATCAAGAAAAAGAAAAATGAAATACAATTTTGAGTATCTCCCCGTTCACAAAAGGGCGGAATTTAATGTTTATGGGTTCAGGATTCTAAATTAAATAAATTGTGTATATTCAATTAATTTTTTAAGACAAACACTAGATTTTAACCAAAGTTAAAGGATTCAGCCGAATCCATAGCTAAAACTCTAGCTCCACCCCTCGTTTTCGAGATAAGGCAATCAAATATCAACATGATTAATTTTTAATAATATCATATATTCATAAGTAGATTTATAATTCTTAACCATTAATCAAATATTTATATAAAATTTGAAAAACTTAGAAATTCTAGAGAAAAAAATTGACACCTCAAATAGTAATCACGTCATATATGGTCTAAGTAACGCGTGGAATCAATTAATAGGCAGACATGAAAATAGAGCCTATAAATACTCATGCATTATATCCACTCGTTAATTTCTTCCTTTATTCACACACTCTACGTATTTGCATCATCACAAGGAAATCTGTAAGAACTCATCATCTTCAATGAATTTGCGAAATCAAGATGTTTTTCTTTTCTTTTCTGATTATTGGTTGTCTTTTAAGTTTACGGGGTCGAGCCGTGGAATCAGCCATTAATGCTTGCATTATGGTAGATTGTTTACATTACACCCCGGGAGTGTGACTCTTTTCGCAATCTTACGTGAACGCGGGATGCTTTGTGCACCGAGTTGTCGTTTTCTATTTATTTATTGTTGGTTGTCTACGAAATTCCAAAGTTCGTCTTTTTGTTTTTCTTTCTAGAAAAAATAAATTTCTAGTTTTTTTATAGGAAAATTTTCAGAGACTTTGTTGGGTTTTGGTCAAGTGACAAATCACAGCTTTCGTTTCATTGACACTTTTATTATTAAGGAATTTTATTATGTGATTACTAATTAAATCTCATCAAGAATTGAGGGATCTTTTGCTTTTGAATTTGACATACCTTGAGGGTCGTTCAATTCAGTAAAATATAATACTAACACAACAATTGATATGTTCATTTGGTTTGTTATATTTCTTGCCCTATTTACTTGCTCAAACATATAACATATGTTCCTATATACAATTTCATGCTCTCTTTTCCCCTTGTGTTGGCCAATTTACTGTTTGAATTGCAAGCGTAATTTTTCTTTTCTCTTTATGACATTTTCAGGTACTTGAGAATGGGAGGTGGAAAGGATAAACATGCGCAGTATCCTCCTGGAGGACAGTATCCTCCTGGACAATATCCTCCGGAAGGACAGTATCCTCCGGGAGGACAATATCCTCCGGGGCAGTATCCTCCAGCACCCGGAGGTTACCCTCCACAACCTGGGGCTTACCCTCCTCAACAAGGATATCCACCACAAGGTTATCTTCCCGCACAAGGATATCCACCTGGAGGTTATCCTCCACAAGGGTATCCGCTAGCAGGTTACCCTGGTCAACCTGCTCCACACCATACCGGTATCATCGCTTACTTACTTTACATGTGTCTTGAGAAGTAAATATTCTAAACTATTCATGAACATCACAGCAAAAAATGTTAAAATATTTATTGCTCCTACTTAAATAAGCAGTTGCGCAGCAAATAAAATAGGAGTTAGATAGAATATAGAATAACGATGTACAAATATTAACCAATTCCAAGGAAAATGCAGAATAAAATAGAATGGGAAGCAATACCTCCACACCAAACCCCAAAGTAAAAGTAGGAAATTAAATATATCAAGATAGGACTATTGCATTTGGTTGTTTTGCAAGATCTTTCCCCCTCCCTAGTCTTTCTCTATCTCACTTTATCTAATGTTTAAAATGTTAAAAGTAAACTTACTCTGGAACCATGTTGAAACTTTTATTCCATTAATCACAAAATTTGATGCTTTTATTATTTAGTTATCATATCAGCAATAGTGAGCAGTATCATAAGCCAAAGATTTAACACTTGACAAATTCTGTTAATTAAATTAGAAATGAGAATTGCATATCAATAGTGCTATATATTGAGATACTTGTTATATTCAGGGGATCAGTGGCTGATGCAGCTCTTCGATAACGATTTCAGTCAAATCCAATATTTTCAATGAGATTTATATGTGAAGACCTACTTAAATTACAATAGATATTAAATTCAAACTTATATTTTTAAAAGTACAATAAGTTCAATATAAGGATATTAAATAACGTCGAATCTACCAAGTTCTTTCATTCATGTTACAGAGACTATCCTTTATATAAGTTATGTTTATCTTAAGGATTGGGCTTCCTCAAAGTATTTGTTTATTGCAGTAATACTATATATTGAGATGCTTGTTAAGGCATTAATAGCTGACGCAGCTCTTCGGTAACAATTTAAGTCAAATCCAATATTTTCAATGAGATTTACATGTGAAAATCTACTTAAATTTCAATAGATGTTAGATTCAAACCCATAGTTTTAAAAGTACAATAAATTCAGTACTAAGAATATTAAACATCAAATTTAAATTCTGAATTTGCCTCTGCAGGGCATGGAATGATGGCCGGAGTTGCAGCTGCTGGAGCTGCAGCCTATGGTGCTCATCACATGGGACATGGAGGAGGCCATTACCCTGCACCTGGTACTGCTCATTATGGACATTATGATCATGGAAAACATGGAAAACATGGCAAGTTTAAGCATGGCAAGGCACAAGGGAAATACAAACATGGCAAATTTGGCAAGAATCATGGTGGCAAATTCAAGAAGTGGAAGTAAACTAACTAGTCATAGTACTTCAACTAACTTCATATTTTGCTAGGTTCTACTCTTTTCTACTTAAATAAGGCGTAGTATTGTTCGTAATAGCCAAAAAGGCATGAGAAGTGCCTTTTCTTTTAATTATTGTTATATTTTTCATTTAGAGAGGAGTTTTGGCGCAACTGTAATAGTTGTTCTAGTGTGACCTGAAGCTCAGAGGTTCAAGTAGCGAAAATAACTAAATAATTTAATTTCAATTTATTTTTCCTTTTTTTTTTTCCGGAAAAAGTGATTGACCACATTTTTTTGAAAGCAAGGATGTTAAATATTCGCGAAAAATATAAGTTAAAAGTACCCTTCTTTAATAACAAAATCAGATTAATGTAATCTTAACTTGTTAAACTATAGCATTAGATTACTCTTTCCTTTTCTTTATGACTGGAAAAATCCAAATCAAACCAATACTTCAATGTCAAATCTGTATATCATAACTTATAAAATAAGGAAACAAAATTCATTTTCACTCTCATAAAAAAAAAACTAAGTCTCTCAAAATGGCTTATTACCCTTACACCAAAGTTCAACTTTCATTACTTATTTTATCA